TAWWATATAWMAYWWTATATATATATATATATATATATATTAAATTCGGTTTTTAACCAAAATAATTAAAAACTGAACCAAAATTTTTGATTTTTGGTTATTTTGGTTTTCTTGTAATTCGGTTTCGGTTCAGTTTTCATTTTTTTATTTCGGTTTTTAAAATCTCGGTGTTAGTTCTTTTTTATTTATTTATCTTTTTTGTTTCTTGGGATTTAATTGGGGTCAGAGACGAGGCATGCAAAACTCGGCCCATCTCCACCACGTTCCACTGCACTATAAGTAGAACAATGGAAATTAGTGACTCTTTCGAATATTTCAGTTTTCTTTTTTTGTATATTTGTTTTTTGGTGCTTAGGCTGTGTTTGGTTGCACTATTACAAATGTATGGGAGTGTAAATGTAAAAAATGCAAATTCTTGTTTAATTTTGTTTTAGTTTTTATTTTATTCTTCTTCATGTCTTAATTAACTTCATTTGTTCTGCAATCAAACAGAATAAGTTAAAATTTAAAACAAAAATAGATCAGAATTTACACTTTACACTGCCATGATTTTGCATTAGTGTAAATTTATTTACATTGCAACCAAATACAACCTTAGGCTGCGGTTGAAAACAATGCAAACAAGTGTGAAAACAATGCAAATATGTAGAGTATAAAACAGTTCATATAAATTGCAAAATTGGGTTAGTTTTGCACTAACAAATTTACCTTCTTACCAAACTGACTTTTAGCTGTAATGGATGCAAACATGAATTCCAATAAAGCATATGCTTTTTTTTCATCAAAATCCCACTTGAATGCAAACTTACTTATTTTTTATTGATGTACTTTTACATCTTATTATCAATGTAAATATGCATTGCTCTGTCATTTATCAATGCATAAATGTAATGTTACCAAATACAAGCAAAAATAAACCAAAATGCAAATTTACTCTGAACTGGAATTTATACTCCATTTGCATCTTTTAAGCCTGATTTTCTTGAAACCACAAGACATTGAAAATAGTTTATACTGGCAAATATCCAGAAGGCCCTAGATTATATATGCTCCAGAAAAGTAGTTTGATTGCCTGAACCCCCAGCATATTTTATATCACACCGTTTCTCAGCCTCGGTCATGAGTCCGGATCTGCTACAAAGTAAGACGTGTACAGCAGATTATGAGATCCTATCTACGTAAGTTGCTATTTATCTAATAAAAGTATGGATAGCTGACGTGTTATTTAGATTTTAGAGAGGATTTCAATTTCCATTGTTCACATCTTATTTGCAGTAAATTCAGACTGCTAATTGCTCTATTCGTATTGCGTCGTTTAGGGGTGATAATGTGCCGGGCCGGGCTTTGGGCTTATATAATTTTTATATAAATATATTGCAGTCTGGACCGGGTTGAAAATAATCCGTTTAATAAGATGGGCCTCAGTTTGATATGCGCTTAGATTTTGGTCCATATTTTTTTGGAAATCCGTTTAACCTTTTAAAAACCAAGCCTCATTCTACTAATTCATGGCATGAGCCCATGTGAAATTTAATTTTGGTTAAAGATGCTTTGAAGAAGTTATTATAAGAGGCTTGAATTGATAGACCTCATCCCATGTACCAAACATTGCTTATAGGCTTTCTAGATGGGCCTGACCTCAAAAAGCGGAAAGAGCACGAAAGGTCTCAACAAATCAGTACGGGAACATGTATGCTGCTGGAAAGAAATAATATCGAAAGTGCTTTGACCAATCAAACCCTCCAAAGTTTTACGGGGGATCATAGTCAAACTCCAGCCAGCATCAACACCTTTTTTTTCTTTTTTTTTTTTTTCTTGTGAAATAGTGACAACTTTACTATTGGTTAATACACGCTCTTAAAATTGCAGTGAGGGTTTCTGTTTTTGTTAAATATGCATACAAACTACATTTGACATTAAGGCTGCGTTTGAAAATGATGCAAATAAGTGTAAATACAAATATATAGTGTAAAAGGTTCATATAAATTGTAAAGTTGGGTTAGTTTTGCACTAACAAATTTATCTTCTTACCAAACAGACTTYTAACTGTAATGAATGCAAACATGAATTTCAATAAAGTATATGCTTTTTTTTTATCAAAAACCCACTTGAATGCAAATTTACTTCTTTTTTATTGATGTACTTTTACATCTTATTATCAATGTAAATATGCATTGATCTGTCATTTGTCAATGCATAAAAGTAATATTGCCAAACACAGGCAAAAATGAACCAGAGTGCAAATTTACCCTGAACCAGGATTTACACTCTATTTGCATCGTTTTCAAACACAGCCTAAATAGACAAGGCACATGGCATTCTATTGTTTGTAGAACTAACAAATGATCTTGTGCTCAAAGCTGAAACTAATGGTTTAATATATGACAAAATTTATACCTGGGTAAGTGCATTTACCCAGGTAAGTGTTTCCTACCCATGTTCTTTTTTTTGTTTAATTCATCCAGGTGAAGTGAGTTTCCTTATTTTCCCATATTCTTTTGAACCACAAACTTTCCTGGGTAGGTTGTTATCTTTTTCACCTCTTGCCAATTTTACCCTTTGAGCCCAAGTCCATGTGATACAAATCATACACATTGTGTCCCTTATTTCTACTGTTTCCCCTCTTCTTTTTTCCCCGACAGTTGTAGAGGGATTGTCATAAGACTGGGGTGACTGGATAGAAACCAACCCAGCTCTCACAGAGTGAATTCAAAGCCCAACTACCTAAACAGAGTGAATGTTGGATATCTTGCAATCTCTGAATATAAACATGAATCCTGTATTCTATGGATCAAGGTTCAACCATCAAGGAACCAGAACATCATATAGCTCTCACAGTGTTCAAACAACACAGAAAGCTACATTCTTAAATTTATATTCCCTGTAAACAACCAAATCATTCTCCATCTACTGAGTCTCTATCATGGTATTTTCTTAATAACCAGAGAAAATCCCAGTATTTGTTCAGCATATGGTCAATAGGCCAAACCCTGTCCCACTTCCCTGTACAGAATATTGCATAGGCATCATCTGCATACCTGTAAGAAAAGGAAAAAAAAACATAAATAACTATATTGGTTTTCCCAACTGTATGAGGGGAATTTTCATTTTGGTCAATGCAAAAGGAACTTTCACTTAACAAGCTTAACAAATTCCAACATCCATGGAAATGGAATGTGCATTCAAGTCTACCAAGTTACCAACCTCGTGCTCGGGAGGACTGATGTGATAAATGCAGAAGTTGTGAAGTAGCAAAGAAGCAGCTTCAGGACAGAAGAATAATCCTTGGAAACAGGACATCTCTGGCCAAACACATGAAAAAGAAGAGAGAAAAATATATCACATTTCATGAGAGATGTAATCAACAATGAAAAGATAGTAGAGATTAATACATATGCCAATTACAAGAAATGCAAGGTGAAATGCATATGCAACAAAGGGGATGTCTCATATTCAACACATAATATGAGAGCAAAACAACAATGAATCTAATTTCACCTAAAACCATTGAACTTATGGTTTAGAGCTAAATTAGGACAAGCAACAAGTGCTGGCTTGTCCTAGTCTCCAAACACAGCAAAAGAAACAGAATCATAGCCAGTTTGTATGATATGTTCCTGGAACAGATTAAGAAAAGCATAAAAGCAAATTTCTTAAACAACCCTTACTGTTTAGCTAATTGACTAACTATATCCTTACTGTTTAACTATTGTCTTGCACCACCCCTACTGTTTCTGATAATTGACATGTCTGCAAGTGTTAATGGGAAAGGCGAAATGTCAAATTTGCCCTCCTTTATTACTCAAATTTTCAAAATAAAACCCAAATTTCAGGAAGATAACTGCTTAGTCTCCGTCTCCGGTTCCTTCTTCGTCTACCAACCACACCGTCGGAGGAGCAAACAGATGGTCTCTCTCTCGGCTGATTAATGGTGGACGTGCCGCTTGTGAAAGTGGGCAAATCTCTCATATACGAAAAATGGTGCCAAGGGTGGGGCTTACTTATAGTCTCTCTCTCTCTCTCAACTTTCTCTTATTTTTTGCTTCGTTTCTTCTCACAGAGTCACAGTTCGGCCAGCCCTGTTCAGCTTCTTCAAGCTCGCGACACCGAATAGAGCGCTAGTGGCAAACCTTGCTTTGCTATCCCATCTCTCTCTCTCTCTCTCACTCAATTTTCTCTTATTTTTTGCTTTGTTTCTTCTCACAGAGTCACAGTTCGGCGAACCCTGTTCAGCTTCTTCAAGCTCGTGACACCGAATATAGCGCTAGTGGCGAAACTTGCTTTGCTATCCCATCTCTCTCTCTCTCTCTCTCTCTCCCCCCCCCCCCTTCTTCCCTCTTCTAACACAAGTAGGAATAACTAGAAGCAACAGAGGAGTGAATTAGATCAAGACGGAGGGAGTAGATAGTAACCAAGTCTCACCTTTGCGAGACTGTGATTCCAACTTCTCTCTGAGACGGTGGAAGGGACAAAAATATAACGAAGAAGAATGAAATCGAGAGGGAAGGAGAAAGGAGAATGGTGGGGAGAAAAGGACTGGCAGTTGCAGCTGGGAAGAATTTTAAGATAGGGTCAAGCGATTGAGAGCAGCCTCCGTAGCAATGGTCTCCGATGGTCGGTAGCAGGGAAACATCTACGGCTGAGAACAAAAGGCCAACTGCTATACCTTTGCAGAAATTCCTTGTAGCGGACCAGATTTCGCCAAAACTGAAACTGACCAACGTCTCAGCCACTGGAAAGATGCTCCTCTCCAAAAATTCAATTCTTCTCCATTTTAAATCTGTTACGCCAGCATCCAAATTCACCATAAGAACAGTGGTAGCAGAAGCAGAAGAATCGAAGCACAATGCATCAAACTCCACAACTGGAATGTGGCAACTCAGGGTTTACTCCTATGGATGTGAGCAACAAGCTATTCAATACTGCTGAGAGCACAAGACTATTGCTGAGAATGAGAAATCAGTCACTACAACGTCCAAACAGAACAATAAAGAGTCCAGTCATCGGTTCAGCATCACAAATACAGACATTACTGTCAGTCCGAATGTGGTTCTCCCACTCTAACCATCCAATTATTCAAACTAGTAATCATATAATCAAGGCCTAAGCCCTACGCACCATTGGATAAAGGAGACTGAGAGAAACT